CCGCCGGTAATCCGTCGGAAAGCCGCCGGAAAATTTTGTAGAAAATAAGCCGTCAAAAACCGCCGGTAACCAGCCGGAAAGCCGCCGGAAAATTCCGCCGGTAATAAGTAATTTTCCTGTAGTGCGAAACTACCGGTTCCGTCGGATTGTACATTGTTTCCAGCGGATTAAGTCCGCCGGTAATAACAGGTTTTCCTGTAGTGTCAATTAATGTTCTCATTTCAAAAAATATATATTAAGGAAAATTAAGTACTCTTCCTTGTGTGATTCCTACAAATATCATTTCTTCTATAATTGCTATGTATCTTTTATAGTGTTATCTCCCTGAAAAAGTCAACAACCAAAACAAAAAAATGAGTTATGTATAACCCCTAACACAATTAATCCCCCTATTTTTAAGATCAAATTTTAATTTGGTTGGGGCTTTTTTGCTCTGCGCTGGATGGCTTTCACACTAGTGCCTTTCTCTATCTTATTTTTTTCTTTTTGTTCTTCATTATAATTTAGTAGGGAACTTAAGCTTTTATGTTTCTTGATTTTCACATTTATTGTAGCTCTTTGAGCAATAGTGACTCGAGGTCCCCTTATAACCTTGTAACCATTTATTATTTTAACATGTAGGCCCCTCGACGGATTTTTCCTAAAAAAAAGAGATCAAATTTTAATTGGAGTTAGTTCTTCCTCTTACTACTACTTTTCTCACATAGCACAATAAAGTAGCATCACATTTTAATAATAAAGTTTCATTATTGATCATTTTTCACTGCCCACAAATTTCTTTCGGATATCTCAAATTCTTAGATATATCATAATTTCATCAGTGATAATATCATATTAGAAAATTATCTTACAAAATATCATACTATTTCTCTCAAAGATCCTTTTTTTTTATAGTTAAAACCCATTGTGGGGCCTACGCGTTAATATCAAAAAATCGGTTACACAGTCCTTAGAAGGATCCTCCAGCTCGCTACTGCTCGAAAGAGCTACAAGATAAAAGGAAAATTAAAACCCTATGAGCCGGTGGATCCTTTTCCTACGATTACAAAAAGAACCTAAATAACCACTCGGGCTGTGAGTAGACAGCACCCAAAAAAGCCAGAGCATCAAAATCCTCTTCAGCACAGCTCTCCTGCAAAATTTCAGACGATAATAGAAAAAGAAATGCAAAAGAAAAATAAGAATACCTTGCGGTCATTGAAGCTCAAAAAAGGATACTTGGTAAGATACCTGCAAGGAATTCTCCAAAAAATGGTGAGAGAGATATAGTAGTATGTAAATACTAAAAGCCCAGCATTCTCCTTATTATAAAAACAATTACTACCCTCAACCGAACCCAACAGATTTGTTTGCATAAAAGTTCAAATCACCTTACCCGACACATTCATCATACTATTTAAATTCCTCCAATGCCAACCAAACCACTTGAAATAAAGAGCATAATAGCAATCCTTAATCCAGACCCACATCTTCCCAGCAGTGTTAATATTATAAAGAAACGACTCGTAATAAAAATTCCTCCAATGTTTAATACAGTCATAAGCCCCAACACCCAAAACAACCAAATTAACCCAGACCCACCACCTGTTGGGACTATTAAGGTAAGAATACAGGGTAATACACACAAAGCTCCCAGACAAAATATAAGCAGCAATAACTAAATTTAGCAACAAAGGGAAAGCACCAATCTGCTCAAAAGAGCAGTCCACGTACCATATAATGCCAACAAAAGGCTATCTGCCACCAGATCAGATAGAAAAATAACATAAACCCCAAATGAAGCATACCAGATAACAGCAGAAAAATAAGATAAAAACAAAGAAAATCAGCCATACCTGATATACGGCATACAAGCTTTATCCACTAGAATCATACCCTTCGACGCATGATCTAAGTTGTGAATATCCAACTCTTCATAGCCATTAATAGAACAACCCTTATTAGCTAACCAATCAACACAGATATTCCCCTCACGATAAATATGAGAAATGTAGAAATTCATCGAGTTCAATATAGTCATAATTTTCCTAATCAGATAAAAATTATGAGAATTACTGGGCACAACACCCCTAATAATTTGGACAAGAAGCATAGCATTCACTTCAATCCAAACAAAGTTAAAGCCCAAATTTAAACACAGCTTCAGACCCAAAAATAAAGCATTAAGATCAGCCGTAACAACTTCAGCTTGTTGTATAGGAGCAGCAAAAGCAGCCAGGATATCACCAAGGGAGTCATGGATAATACCACCGGCCCGCACCAGCCCTCAACTGGCCAACAGAACCATCAGAATTTAATTTAACATAAGGAGGTTTATGTTTAATCCAATAAACAAATGAATCAGCCGTATTCGCACTTATCTGATCCAGATTAATACCAAAGATACTCGCCAGCTCTCTACACTTAGAGAAAACCTTACCAGAAATAACATTACAACTATACAGCTACAAAACCTAGCTTTCTTTTAACATTGGGAATAATAAGGGCCACATCCATCTTAACCTCCTCATGTTTAGCCTCATTTCTCGCTTTCCAAATATACCATAAAATAAGGATTGGCAACAGGTTATGAATATGACCTTTAGTAGTATGAAACCAACTTTCTAACATCAAAATCAAGCTACTATGATTAGTTGTAGAATTCTTATCAGTAATGCTATTGAAATATAACCACACCTTTTTAGCCACAAAACCATTGATAAAAAGATGATAAATATACTCAAAATCAGAACAACATAAACACTTAGAGTTTAAAGTAATACCTTTTTTTTGCAGAAGATTGTCAACAGGAAGAAAACCTTTAAGGCATCACCAAACAAAAGTAGAATAAGTAATCAGAAAAGTACTATGCAAAATAGCAGCAAAAATAGGGGATTTATCAAAAGAAATACGAAAATTCTTCTAAATGTTCAACAATTGAAATTTCCCATTAGAAGAAAGAGAAAATAAAATTTTATCCATGCAATCCATCTGTAAGGGGATATTAACAATAATATCAACTAAATAGGTAGGCAAGAATTCCTTTAAATTAACATTGTTCCATCTGTTATCCAAAAAAAAAGGAAGAAACTTTAATAGAATCAATAGTATGCGTATTTAAGTAAGAATCAACCGACATCTTACCCAACCAGTTATTCTGCCAAAAATAAACATCACCCTTACCTAAACCCCACTGAATAAACTTCTCAGCTTCACATTTGATGTTGCATAACCTTTTTCAAGTTATCGAATCTAAATTTTTATAAGAGCAAATAGTCGGATGCAGATTATTATAATATTTAGCATTCATATAACGAGCCCATAAACTGATATTAGTTCTAAAAGAAAATCACAATTTATGAGAAAAAGCAATAGCAGTATCAATCAAATTCTTGCAACCGAGACCCCCTTCATTAAAAACCCCACAATTTTTATGTCAAGCCGCCCAATGAATGGCATTGGTATAAAATTTAGACCCCCAAAAGAATTTGTTAAACATTCTCAAGTCTAGCACATATAGAAACATTTCTCTCAAAGATCCTTCTTCAACTCATTGAGAGAAAAGCAATCAAAAGTAATATTTTCATTTTAGTTCATAAAATTATTAATTTTTTCTTACAAAATTGTAGATAGAAGCAACCCTTACAAATGAAAAACTGAATATGATTAGTTTCATCTTCTTCATGACACTTTTTTTTTCTTCTTTTATTCATTTATATTTCCTTGGGACTAAGATTCTCACTTTCATATTTTTATTATAGTAACAACAATATGAGTGGACAATGTTAAGCATTACTGGCTCAAGCATTGCAATTAGTAGACCATTGTGTTATTATATACGCTAACAGGCAAAGCATACATATTTTCTTATAAGTCACCACAAATACCCCCAACCCATCTCCCACTCCTCTTCCCTCCTTCAACACACATTAATGTCACTTTCCAACCCCCCACATGGTGGCCTGAGAAAGCAAAGAAAAGGAAGAGAGAGAGAGAGAGAGAGAGAGAGAGAGAGAGAGAGAGCAATGTTATAGCTAGTTCAGCCCACTCATTCATTCATCATAATCTTCCACCTCCTCCTTCCACCACCCCTCATACAGTAGTAGTACTTTCCTTCTACCTCATTTTTTTGTTCCTCTAATACTATCAACCTCCTACTGTATGTCGCTTTCAACTCTTACAAACACGCAGTGGAGAGAGAGAAGAGAAAATAAGAGATAAATAACCTCCTCCTTTATCAGGTTATATGCGGTATACAAATAGGCTCAACCTGTAGTTGCATCTGCCTCAGTCTCTTCTTTCATCTTCTTCCAGTTTTCATGTATGTTCAAAGGCTAAACTAGCGAAGGATTTGCTCCAATCTCTTACAGAAAAAAAATTCATAAAAAAAATAAGAATGTCGACCGAAGTCACCCATCTCTTGCCCGAGCAAGTCTGCTATGTTCACTGCAATTTCTGCAATACAGTCCTCGCGGTAGTATTCTCCCTCTATCTCTCTCATTCTTGCTCTCTTTCTACCCCCCCTCTAACGCAAAGCTTTACAAAGTAAAATTTGCTAAAATTTTTATTGATCAAAGCAGTTGTTCAAGATTTCAAATATTTATGCCTTGTAGAGTAGCAGTGCAAATCTCTTAAAAGGTTCATAGTGCTTTTTGTTGAATTTAAAAAGCTTAAGTTCAGAAAAGTGTTGTGCTTATTTGATTTCATTATTTTAATTGATTAGATAGAAAAGTACTGTGAATTTGCCTAATTTAATAAACAATATTTAACAAAATAATTATTTAAAGAAAACAGAACGAAAACTGAGTGATTTTTTTTCATATCATCCATATGTGCTCTGCCTTTCATTGAGATGCCCATTCAGAATTATTCAGCTGTAGCTGAATCGAAAGAAAATTACTGTTTTCTTAAGGAATCATCTGTACTTTGGAATTTAGGGCACACAGTTCTATCAATTTAATGTGTTTTTGAAATTGTTTATCAAATTTGCTCTTTATGTTTTCTCTGTTGAAGTCTAGTTTTGTGGTTTCTGCAGGATGGACTAATGAAAAATAACATACAACTTGAATCATTGATTGATGTAATGATGTTAATCTATGCTCCACTTTGCATATTTGAATGGATTTCAAAGATTTTAGGGTTTACATTTCAATTATTTATGAAGAGTTTGTTTCATTAAAGCTTGATTAATGAGAGTGTTCAATCTCTCTTCCATGACTTGTTTTTTTCTTTTTCATGTTTAGGGAAACTACTAAGATTAACTTATTAGATGTTTGTATGACATAGGGAATATTTAAAAATAATTCAAGTTCTTGTTTTTCTTAAGATTAGAAGTCTACCCAATATATTTTATTTAATATAAATTCAATTACAGATTTGAAACGACGTTAAAAAATTACATCATGAGACCAAATACTTCACAGATTCTATCATCTTCTTCTGCTAGATCACAAACTCCATATCAGCTTGAGCTAAGTCCTTCGGTGAAGTTCACAGATAGTTATTTCTGCTTAAGAAGCCTATTTGAGCTTACTTTTACAAGAAGATGCACACTCCATCGTAATATCTCAAGTGCTTTGGGTTTTACTGTTCATTTCCTCTTGAACTCGTCAAAAAACCTGCAACTTTCAACCTCTAACATTCTGTCTGGCCTCCACTCACTCGAGATGAGCGAAGAAATAGATGTTTCTCTCTCTCTCTCTCTCTCTCTCTCTCTCTCTCTCTCTCTCTCTCCATTTCATCATTTCTCTCACTTCCATTAACTTTGTGGTTGTGAAAGAGAGGCATGCTAGGACATAAGAGGTTGCAGGAGGTAATGAAGAGACACTGGCCTTTTATCTCAAAAAAGGTACTTTACATTTATTGAGGAGAACGCAGATTTCTTTTTGACATCTCATGCACAAGTAAATCGTTTAAAGAGATCAGTAGGGTTTTCACACTTGTTTCCTTTTCAGAGTAAGTGGCACAGACTTCTCTTCATCTTCATATCTTAAAAGCAAACAACATAAAGGAATTTAATTTCATCAAGTGACCTAATATAGCTATAGGGTGCTAAAATCAAATGTCTGACTCTACAATACATATATATCATAATAATAGAAGCATAAGGACCATATTATTCTCTTGACTATTAGGAAATTATTTGAAAAGTGCTAACATGGTATAGAGGTGAATGAGTGACAATGAAAAGCTTTAAAGACAAATTAAAGTTTTTGAAAGATATTGAGGAAAACTTAGTTGCTGGGATTTGGTTGAAATTGGGGAATATGTTTTTCAACAAATCTTTGTTCGAAAGATTATATCGATCTAAGATAATATTTGTATTCATTTAATATATATAATGATAAGCCGATCAATGTGCAGATGGATGAGTTTAATAAATCATTCTTGACCTAGAAATATTAATGTTGTATATCAAAGATGGAGACGAAGCTCTTCTATTATTGAGTTCATCATTAAAATAGTATGAGAAATAAATTCAAAAATACAATCTTATATATCCATGTTAATCACTTTTTCTAGAGGCGGTTTAAGATAAACTAAATTCCAAGGATTTTAAATTCAAAAGTGAGTTTAAAAGGGCAATTCTTGAGATGGTTTCATAGCAAATATAGGAATAGAGGAATTAGACAACTAAACTCTATAAGAAAATATTCAAAGAGGGCTTAGTTGAAATGTTAATTACACAAATTATAAGATGGGCCTTTTTAAAGAATTTCCTAAAAAGAGAGATGAAAATACAGAAAAAATCTAAGAAAATGGCGATGCAACTATTTGATTATATTTGTATTTTCTATGAAAGTACTATTGATTTCAAGCATAGATTAAGTAAATGATTGAGTGATGGGAATCCAAATACTAATTTTACATGAATCTTAATAAAGATTAATTTGAGAAACTTTAGGCCATAGAAGGGGGCAAAGTGGAAACAACAAGGCACACAAATTTGTAAAGTGTTTAAAATACTTGAGTTAATATGTAATTTATTTATTTAGGAAAGTCGTACTTAAGGGGATGTACAATTAGGACTACAAATAAAATTTTTAGACTATTTTAATATGCTCTTATGGTAGTGTAGGGCACTAGAAGATATAGTCTTTACTCATAGCTAGCAACATTATAATATAATCATATCTACTTCAAAATTTATATAATTAAACTGGTGTTAATAAGTTTGAATTAGGACATAAAAAACTTAGGCATGTAAGTGAATAAAGTCAAAATGAATTATGAAGACAAAACTTATTAAATGTTCATCAAATTAAAAGACTAAATTTTTGTAAAGTATGTGCCTTGAGTAATGCATGTAAAGTAAGGCTCAATATAGGAAATCATCAAATTAAAATATTCTTGATTATGTTCATTCAAAATTAAGGGATTAATAAAGAGTTCAATGTCATGGTGGAGCAAGATACTTTTTATTTTGTGATTTATGATTACTTAAAGAAGTTATGTGCATTTTCCTTAAAAAAAAGAACGAAGTTTTTGGTTATATTAAGTATTGAAAGATTCTAATAAAAAATAAGATAATAAAATGGTCTAGTGCTGAGGATTGATAACAAGTTAGAATTATGGGTTAAATAATTCAAATAATATTATTACAATGATGAAGGAAGAGCAAGAAAAAAATAAGTCATGAACGTTAATTCTCAATAAAATGGGCATGATGAGTATGTTAAATATTGTTGGATGCTTAAAATTTTTTTTGGTAGAGTTAATTTTAATAATAGCTTATCTTATTTATAAATGCCAATTAATGATTTTGAATTATAAGGCACTAGAAGAGATACAATCTTGTAAGACTACAAATTATGGGAACCTTAGATTATCTAATTATATTCCTTATCATAAGATAGGGTAGGACTATCAGTACTCCCCTAGATTATTTTGAAAGAATTATCTATTTTATCTCTAAATTACTATACTACTTAGGAATGTTATATGCTTAAATATTGGTGCCTAAGTCTTATTAGCAAAATGCAATTGGTTGTAAATGGGTATTCAAGTTGAAATTATGAAGAGATTCTCAGGGTTCAGAAGCCTAACTACAAAACTAAGCAAGTTGTAAAATGTTTATATAATAAAGGGGAAATATATTTTGCATTTTCTTAGTTGTCAACCACTTTAGATTAAATTGGTCCCTCGTGTTAAGCTTGATTTTGAACTTGAATATATAAAAATGACAATAACTTTTTTACGTAATGAAAATCTATATACAACACCTTCATAATTTTGTTAAAGTGGAGAAGACAAACATGCATGTTTGTTAAGAAAATCCCAATAGGGATTGAAATTATCCCCTAAAAATGATTTTTTTTTATGAGTTCATGCACAAGAGTGGCTTTAATGAAAGAAAATTTTATAGTTTTATGTATTAAAAGAGTGTATAGATGCTATGTTAGTATATCTTATACTGTATTTGAAATCATTGATAGCATGTAAGAACAACAAAAAATCTAGCTATAAGTTAAAAGTATTACTATGAATTGAGTTTGGAATGAATTAATGATAATGATCTAACACAAATATTTTGGTCATGCAAATCATAACTGGTAGAAGGGAGAGGACTATAAGTATATGATATATAAGCAAGATAATTAATGATGGATTTAGTGAATTTATGAATGAAGGGTGTTGATGTAGTTTTAATTCCAATAGATAAACTCTTTAAGCTCTCAAAAGATCAAATGCCTAAAACTAAATAAGAGAAGTTTAAGATGTGTAAGGTGCCTTTTGTAAGAAGTTGGCATTATAATGTATGTTATGGTATCCTCAACTCCTAATTTAGCTTATTTTATTAGCTTTTTTAGGCTTCATTTGGGATGATTTTTTATTGCTTTTTAAAATAGAATTTTAGTAAAAAATTAAAAATGTTTACTAAAACTAATCTATTTTAAGAAATAATTAAAAAGTTGTACCAAACGAAGACTTAGGTTTTGTTTGGGATAACTTTTTTGCTGCTTCTTAAAACAACTTTCTTGTTAAAAATTTAAATTTTCTACTAGAAAGCTGTTTTAAGAAGCAACAAAAAAGTCACCCCAAACTAAGCCTTAGTTTGTTTATGTGCAATACTAGGAGAGAGTATTAATATGCTCTAAAGTGGATCCTTTGATGCGAACTATTTCATTTGGGATTAATTTTTTTTGAGGAAATAGATAGAGTTATTTGTGTTGTGGCTATATATGTTGACTTCCACTTTGTATGAAGTTTGATAACATTTTTTTTTTTGTTAAAACCCTCTTATGGGGCCTACGTGTTCATTTAAAACATCGGTTACAAAATCCTAAGACTCCACCAGCTCACTATTGCTCATAAGAGCTACAATCCAAAAAGAAGCCTACGAGCCGGCAGATCCTTATACTACGATTACAAAAAGAACTTAAAATAGTCGGGCTAATCAACAAAAGCACCCAAAAAAGGAGAGACCAATTAATCTTTAAAACTTTCAGCTCCGCTCTCCTGCAAAAAAATCTACTGTATAGCAAAATGAAAAAACATCAAATAAAATAACATACCTTTGTCAAAATTCTGCCTTGCTTATAATAGTACCTACAAAGAAACCTCAAGGAAAAAATTAGCCCAAAGATATCATGAAACAGCATAAAAATCCACCACCATAGAAAGAAGGAACCGCACCACACCAAACCCTGCATGGCAAACCACCCAACATGCCAACAGAATCGATAAAACGCCTTGCCCTTACCAACAGTGATATCCTCCAAAATCAGCCAAAAAACACCAAACCCACCAACACAAGAAATACAAGATATAACCCAATCACAAGACACAATAGCCCCCAAAAAATCCAAGATATAACCCAAGTAAACGACACAAAGCCTCCAGTTAAAAAGGAGAAACCACCCAGAAAGGCTCCAGAAAGAAAACCAGCCGGACCAATACCTCCAGAACATATACGTAAACCACCACAACCCCCATCGGATAGCACAAAGCTCCCAGTTATACCAAAATAACATCAACAGGAAACAGCCCCAGAACATCATGCCTAAAGCGTGATAAACCCAGCTAGACCGGAAACAGCAAAACAAAGCCAAAAACCCAGAATACATAAAATAGCAGCACAGTTAGCAGCTTCTCATGTAGGGCAGACCCATGCGATCCAAATTAATCAGCCCTTTAATGTTCCTGGGAATCGAAGCATCATTAAAATGGTAAAAACAATCTAAGTTACAACCCATCTTAGCTAAGGCATCAGCCACCGCATTACCTTCTCGCAAAATGTGAGATATAGAGTAGTTCATACCAGACAAAGCTAATTTAATCTCACGAATCTTATAGAAGTTGGTAGGATTATAACTGGAATTACCACTGATATAATGAATTAGGAGAAGAGCGTCAACTTCAACCCAAATATTGATGAAACCAAGGGACAGACAAAGTTTAACACCAAAATTTAAGCTATCAATTTCAGCAGTAATAGCATTGGTACCAGAAGAAGGACCAGCAAAGGCCACACAATTTTGCCATTATGATCGCGAATAATACCACCACAACTAGCAGTAACACTATTGTAGGAACCGTCCGTGTTTAATTAGCTTAATGGTTCTATATTCGTTAATTTTTGGTATTGCATATTTGCATGTAGTATGTTAGCTAGAAGGCAAACTTGCAAAATATTATGGCTAGCTTTGCCCCAAAAAAAAAAAAAAACCAAAGTATATTTATTATTCATGAGCAAAAAAATTCTAAGCGAAAGAAAATTATTGTTTCCGTCGACAACTAAGGAGCTATACATTTGACTAAGAATTAGGTTTTTTATGAAATGAGCAATCATGTGAATGTGAAGTTAGACTTTATCAAAGAGTTAGATATGAAGGGAATGGTGAAAGTAAATGAGATTCTAACTAAGTACAATCTAATTTAGGTTACTAAGTCTAAGGGGCTTAAAATAGGTTTGTTGGTCGAGTTCATGTCAAACATAAAATTGATTTGTTCTTAACACATCAAACTCGAGTCTGATCAGTTTGTCTAAATGGGTTAAAAATCTAGACTTGAACACAACTCGAAACCAACTTGACCTACTAACTCAATTGAGTACGACGGGTGACCACAAAGGCTAGCAGGTGAGCGGGCGAGTAGACGATCATGAGCAACCAGTGCAAGCCCAACGAGCGCGGCGGGTGAGAAATTGTGACAAGTGCGATGAGCGCAATCGGGCGATGGATTGGTCAAACGGTTTGCGTTCGGGTACGTTCACGCTCGGGTTAATCTGAGCTCGGCCAAATATTCCAATTGGGTCAAAAAATCAAACCTGAATCCGATCCATTTGTTAAACGGATCGACCCAACCTAAAAATTTTTGTTCGAATTCAAGTCAAATTTTTGGGTCGTGCTATATATTAACACCCCTACTAAATCACTTCCAACAATAAGTTTTTCTACTTCTTCATAATGATTAGTTTGAAGTAATTAAAGCTGAGGCCTTCGGGCATGTTGGTAAGTTTACAACTGATAATAAAGATTCAATTTGGAGATTTGAGGGGGTTTAACTTTGTCATTATCAAGACAATAGTGTGAAAGAGTTTTAAAATGAAGAGAAAAGATAACCATTAGGGTGATTGAGCTTTCTTGTGCAGCTTGAAAAGAGAAGCGTGTAAGTTCATCTCAAAATTTTTTTCTTTTGCTGTCTCAGCTGTGAGTTGAGATCACACCGCCTCAAAAACTCAATCAGAATTTTCTGACATACCCATAATACTTTTTATTTGATTTAGGTTTCATTTGGGACAGCTTTTTTAATGTTTTCTGAACCAATTTTTTAGTAAAAATTTTCTGATTCAAAAAATTTTTGAACTAAAAAACTATTTTAGAAAGCAGTAAAAAAACCGTCCCAAATGAAGCCTTAGTAAAACATGATAAGATGTTTCTTAATAATTAGTATTTAATATTATAGTAAATCATATTTAATTTCAGGTAAATATTCCCAGCGACAATATGTTTAATATTGTTACAGTAAGATGTGGGCATTGTGCCAATCTTCTATCAGTGGATATGGGGGGTGTGGTTGAAACTGAGACACTGCAAAATCATCAGGTACGTAATCGCTTATTCTAGTCTTGATATGTATCATGAATAAGATTGCAGTGATCTCTGCTATCTCAGCACTAAGTTCACTATCTCAGTGCATTCAAGCTTGCAGCCATTGAGAAATATTTGCTGTCAGCAACTGGATTTTATGGGGCTTTACTTTAGAAGGGCTATGATATAAGTCATATATGTGATAAACAATAAATCCTTTCTTCCCATGGGTTTCTCTTCCCCCTTTAATTTTTTCTTTGTTTTTTTTAATATATTTTTTAAATAAATATAATCCATAAAAGAGCCTGCACATTAATTAATAAAAAAAAATTATAAGACCTTAAAGGATCAAGAGCTCTCTAAAAGCACAAAACTTAATGAGTATATGATTATATCTATTACAATAATCAAGAGAAAAAAAACCATAGAAGTAGGAATCCAACCGTTAAAAAGAGGAACCCAATCCAAAAATTCAAAGAAGCACCAAAATCCACCATAAAAAGTAATGAAGTTGGAAGCGGGATGCACCAAACACCCTGTCAGATATAAACAACAAGCATGCATAGAAGACAAGAAAAAAGGATATGCTCAAACATGGTCATAGCAACACGACCACCAATTGTAGGAGGAGATTGGTTGAGAGAACAGGCACAAACACAAAGAACAAAGGTTGGAAACTGCAACCAAAACACATCAACCAAAAGATAACTCCATAAACCTATCCAAGAATAGGATAACCTAGGCATCAAAGACAAGCAGCATAAAAAAACAATATGACAAATCAACTAAACCTTCCACGAACTCCCAAAAAATACAATCCCTCACCTCCATCAGCAGTAACCCACCAACCCAAGCTACCAAAACCAAAAGCATCGATCCAAATCGAAACAAGCTAGGCAACCAAAAGCCCAACAAACCCCTGTAGCTAAGCCGCGCAACGGGAAAGCCAAAAAAGTAACATAAGAAAAAATCAGAAAAAACATTGCAACCATTTTTTTTCTTTTGTATATATTTCTTTTTATTCTTCCTTGAAGCATTATCAATTTTCACAACATCCAAATTAACATCTTCCTGAGAATCTTGAAAGCTACTATCATTCGCTACCTCGACAATATTATTAGGATTAACATTGTTAACACCTGACATTAACCAATCATAATGGTTAACATAATTAACAACATTATTAGGATGCTCACGTTGCTCTTTTAGGCTGACATCAACATATAAAGGGGACTAAAGAATGCTAATAATAGACACTTTATTAGAAACATCCAAAAATCTTGAAGCATCCATAGGACCACGAAGACAATGAGATTTAAAATCAACCATTTGATCCCCACCAACAGGATCAACATCACCATCTACATTTATTCCATCCATAGTAAAGGTTACATCCACATTAGGATGAATCTCTAGTATGACCTTGCTCTCAAGCGTAACATTGGTCGTAGGCAATAAAGTAGGAGTTTCGATAAGTAAATCATCCCTTCGGGTAGCGGAAGGAACATCAACATTATCATTATTATAAGCTAGATCATTAGAAATAGGTAAACCAGGACTGGTATTAGCATCAGTGAGGTTGGAATTAGCCATTTTCATAATAGGATCCTTAGGCAGAATAGGATTATTCTTCTTAAGATTAGTGTGCAGAATAAATCACTCATTTTTCACATGTCCAAGGGTTTTACAATGATCACATAATGAATGAACTTACTCCAAAACCACTTTTTGCACAAAGCCAAATTTCTCAAGTCCAATCTAAAGGTTGCTCAAGTAGTTTTTGGAAATATATAGCTCCACCAAAACCCTAGCAATCGAGGGCCTGACGTCATGAGTAGTGGCATTGTCCATTTTCAAGGGTCTACCAAATAGAGATCCTAACCCGTGGATGATTCTTAGTGAAAATAAGTGAGGTCATAGATCAGGGAAAGAGATCCAAACCGGCACAATTGGAGATTCCTCATGAATGTCAAACACGGGTGATCGCCATTTAACAAGCTTTATAAAATAGTTATACATAAAATAAAATAGGCGAGCCAAAACTCTACTATATTCCAAGTCGTTGGATAGTTTTATTAGCACATAATGTGTATCAAATAAAGTAACAGAGAAATCACTGAAAAGTTTGAGATTTAAAAAGAAAATTCTAATAAAATCCAATTTAAGACGCTTTTAGAGAATTTACCAACAAGCGAAAAGGAAAAGGAGATGCCAATGCAATGATTTCTTCCTTGGAGACCACAAGGCCTTGAAATCACAGTTGGTAGTTGCCTTGAGATCAGAAAAGGAAGAAGAAGTGGTAGATCCAAATAAAGCATCTTTGAATGATCAAGATGTCATATTACCCGTGGCGAAAAAGCCAGGATCCAAGAGTTTATTTTCCATAAAAGCAAGAAAACCACAGAAAACCTGCAGAGATGAAAAAATTCCCTGGAATCAAAAGATGATTTGGGACGTAGGCTTGAGGCGATCAAACACTCAAGAAAAGCCTGAGATGTAGAAGCGGAGAACAATCCGAGAAAAATGATCAGATCATAAGAGACGGGAGGAGGCTAGGGCTCTGATCATAAGAGACGGGAGGAGGCTAGGAGCAGGCTAGGGCAAAGCCCTAGCAGAGCCCCAAAGAGCGATCTTTTTTTTTTTTCTTTAGTTTTAAAATGAAGTAACACAACTTTTAGGATAATATTTTTTACATACATAATCCATGAAGGCAACATATTTTACGCATATTTTTATGATGGCATGATAAGTATTAAAATTTTGTAAATTTTAATGCTTTGAAGAGGAGTTTTTAACCACACTTCCAACTTTGGTATTTGTTAGGGCTATTTTTGTTAAAATATATGATATTTGTTGAGTTATTCAAATGAATAATATACAATAAAATAAATAAAGATATATTATTAAATTATCATATTAGTGGGGAGTGTCATCTATTTAATTAGGATAAAATAAAAAAAATATTATAAGATTAATTTTTATCTTTCCAATAAAATATGCAAAAAAAAGTAAAATTATATGAGATATATTTTTACCTTTCCAATAAAATATGCACAAAAATTTATCACTTAGTTTGAAAAAAATAAGATACTTTGCTTATTTAATTTGTGCAAAATATTAAGACAAACATCTCTTATGACACTTTGAAATATTGATTGAATGAAATCCATATGCTTACCCCAAATTGTTGAGGTAACAATTCTTTTTTGAAAAATAGAAATATAACAACAAGACGTGAGGTCAGTAATATATAAAAGGGCTAAAAAGATTAGTAACACATCGAAGTTCAGGTAAAGAGCTAATAAAATTTATCTAAAAAATATCTGATATTATATTTAGGTTTCGTTTGTGATAGCTTTTTTATTTGCTTTTCAAAACAGTTTTTTTTTATAAAATTTTTATTTTTTATACTAGAAAGCTAGTTTAAGAAGCAGTAAGAAAGCCGTTCCAAACAAAACCTTAATTTTTGTACTAGAATTCCGCTTTAAGAAGCCATAAGAAAGCTGTCCTAAATGGAGCCTTAATGATCTTTATCTTTAAGTTGATAAGTTACTGCATGTAAGCCTGATTAAGCATGATGATTTTTTCATAAAAAATATGACAGAATGATACCAAAACAATCCATTTTCAGATCTACCGGTTTTTCTTTTCAGTACATTTAAGTCAATTAAGATAAACTCATATGCATAACATACCCAAGACTCGAACCCAAAATCTCTTAATTTGAAACCAAAGCTCCCAACTAAGAGATAAAAATGAGCTGCATAGATCTACTAGTAACTTCCTTGCATTCAAATACATGAAGACGTCATGATACATAAATTATTTTGGTGGCAGAAAATTCAGTACGGTATGAAATCTCTGGATCTCCATGTGCATTCGGGGCCAGTTTCTGAATGCAGTAGGACATCAACAGTCAACACAGTGGACGTAGGCCAACAAAGACTCTTGCATAATCGCCGTAAGATCAACCTTTTAAAATTAAAATAAGGATAATTAATCGTGTTTTTCTTCTCTTTTATCTCTACTTACAGAAGCGATTGATAAACTAATTATTTGATTACTACACAATTTTATTTTAAGGTTTGTTTTCTTCCCATAAATGTGAGTTAAATTGGAAAAAAAATACATAAGATTGCATAAAATATATTTTAATAAAATTTTTATTCATATCTTTCTTATTCCAATATAGAAGCACTACAGGAAAATGATTTTTTACTGACGGAATTTCCGACGTTTTGGTTTCGGTTTTTCGTCGGAATTCCACTGGTAAGTCAGCCGGAAGTATTTCCGGCGATAAATTTTCTGATGTGTAATTTACTGTTGGACGAATTTTTGCCGAAAATCCACAAGAAAGGGAATTTTACCAGTGGATTTCCATGATTACCGCGATTTTTTTGTAGTGAAGGAAAATGATAAACAATAAAGCTTCGTTTGGGACGGCTTTTAACTACTTCTTCGAACAACTTTTTAATAATTTTTTTATTAGAAAAAGTTGTTTTAAGTAGTAAGAAAGCCGTCGTAAACGAAGCCTAAAACTTACGAAATTTCTTTTTTATAGAAGAATATAGCTTTAACTTCTAATTAATCTAACCATTATTCTGTCTTTGATTCCTCTTTTTTGTTTTGTGGTCTAACCAGCACCGGAGAAAAGACAGAGAGTACCTTCAGCATATAACAAGTTCATCAAGTAAGCTATAGCTTAATTTGTTGCCATGTTAACGGGGATGTATATTTTTTTTATTACTTGCCATGCTAACAGGGAGGAGATCCAAAGAATTAAAGCTAGTAACCCTGACATCAGCCACAGGGAAGCTTTCAGTGCAGCAGCAAAGAATGTAAGTTTCTAGGTTTGTTAGAAGTAGCAACACTTCTATTAGGGTTTTCAGCGTTTTGAGCTCTATAAACCAGCTGAATTATTTTTCTTGCATCATTTGCAGTAGTTGTGTTGACCCGTATTTTGTTGTGCTGTTTAAAATGAAATTTGATCAATACTTTACCAACTAAATTTTCTTATATCTATCTGATCAATCCTACTTTATATTTTGTATGCTTTGTTGGTGTGTTATTTATTTAATTTTTTTTAGGAGAAACCCACAAAACGGCTTACGTGTTAATTATAAAAAATTGATTACTAGTCCAAAGAGGGATCAAATGCTCACTAAAATTCAAAGAACTATAATCAAGAAAGAAAGAAAAAAAAACCTACTGAGACAATAATCCCAACTAATTTACACATTCAAAAGGAAAAGAATATAAACAACTGAAGGAAGGCAAGAAGTCGTATGGGACTATCATAACCCGTAGGAATACCGTATGCCATGGCACTCCACACTACCGTAGCATCCCTCACTTTTTGTTTTAGTTTTTTATTATTGCACGTTCTACTATTTCCCTTTTTCTTTATTTAGAAATGGCACTATAGCAGCTAGAGGAGAGTATATGATCCTCAGAGAAAGACCATAGTACACAAATATATGAAAAACGAATATTACTACTATCCCTGTTCTATTGGTGTTATGCTCTAACCCTCTTGCAGGTTCTTCTCTCCGGTACTCCTCCTCCACTGAAGGCCCCAGCTCTGGCATTCAATTGCGGGAAGGTACGTCAGGTTGGTATCAGAGCTAGCGATCGGGTTGATGGCTGCAGAGAGTTCTCGTAAGGCTCCTGACGACGATTGGAGCTTGGATGCCGTATGGGCAGCGCAAGCTAGCATCAATCGGGAACTCAACGAACTGAGGGCGGACTTCTTCTGCCTATCCACAGACCTACACAACGACATGTTAGACCTCAAAACCTCAATCGGACATGTCCTAGGACAAGTTTCACAACCAACAGTGGCAACACCAGTGCCGCGAGGTTTGCCAGGTAGAGCTGGACAATGCCGTATTCCTAGGCCAGCTTTAAGAGAGGTACTGGAATCTGAGGAGGAGAATGACTTCCAAAACTGCCATGAATTAACCGATTCTGGAAACGATGATCAGTTTCAGTATTATGAACACCCGAGACACTGCCGAACAAATCAAATGGGCCAGGGAGAGTTCTGCATTAAGATGGATATGATATTCCATTCTTTGAAGGGAGATTACACATCGAGGACTATCTCGATTGGGAAAGAGCAGTGGAAGCATTTTTTGATTATATGGAAATCAACCCGGAAAAGCAAGTTAAGTACGTGGCCTGTCGTTTAAAGGGCGGCGCTAGTGTGTGGTGGCTACAGGCTTTTACAAACTCGTCGCCAGGAAGGAAGGGGCCAATCCGTAGTTGGTTTCGTATGAAACAACTTCTTAGGGGATATTTCTTGCCCACGGATTATGAACAAATGCTTTATTTACAATATCAACATTGCTCGCTAGGACAACGTTCCGTGCACACAAGAGTGATTTTAACGAAAGAAAATTTTATAGTTTTATGTATTAAAAGAGCGTATAGATGCTTGTATATCTTATAATGTATTTGGAATCATTGATAGCATGCAATAACAACAAAAAATCTAGATATAAGTTAAAAGTATTACTTTGAATAGAGTTTTGAATGAATTAATGATAATGATCTAACAAAAATATTTTGGTTATGCAAATCATAACTGGTAGAAGGGAGAGGACTATAAGTATGTGATATATAAGCAAGATAATTAATGAAGGATTTAGTAAATTTATGAATAAAGGATGTTGATGCAGTTTTAATTCCAACAGATAAACTCTTTAAGCTCTCAAAAGATCAAATGCCTAAAACTAAATAAGAGAAGTTTAAGATGTGTAAGGTGCCTTTTGTAAGAGTAGTTGGCGTTATAATGTATGTTATGGTATCCCCAACTCCTAATTTAGCTTAGTTTATTAGCTTGTTTAGGCTTCGTTTGGGACGATTTTTTTATTGCTTTTTAAAATAGAATTTTAGTACAAAAATTAAAATTTTTTTTCTAAAACTCTATTTTAAGAAATAATAAAAAAGTCGTTCCAAACGAAGACTTAGTTGGTTTATTTCCAATACTAGGAGAGAGTATTAATATGCTCCAAAGTGGATCCTTTGATGTGAACTATTTCATTTGGGACAAATTTTTTTGAGGAAATAGATTGAGTTATTTTTGTGTTGTGGCTATATATGTTGACTTTCACTTTGTATGAAGTTTGGATACCATGAAATTACTTAATGGTTCTATATTCATTAATTTTTGGTATTGCATGTAGTATGTTAGAAGGAAAACTTTGCAAAATATTATGGCTAGCTTTGCCAAAAAAAAAAAAAGCAAAGAATATTGCAGTTACAATGGTCATCAGGAAAGCATTATATTTAAAAGATATCATTCAAGAGCTAAAAAATTCTAATCGAAAGAGAATTATTGTTTCTGTCGACAACTAAGGAGCTATCCATTTGACTCAGAATTAGGTTTTTTATGAAATGAGAAATCATGTGAATGTGAAGTTAGACTTTATCAGAGAGTTAGATATGAAGGGGATGGTGAAAGTAAATGAGATTCTAACTAAGTACAATCTAATTTAGGTTACTAAGTCTAAGGGAGGGTTAAAATAGGTTTGTTGGTCGAGTTCATGTCAAGCATAAAATTGACCTGTTCTTAACACATCAAACCCAAACCTGATCTGTTTGTCTAAATGGGTTAAAAATCTAGATTTGAACACGACTCGAAACCAACTTGACCTACTAACTCAATTGAGTACGACGGGTGACCACAAAGGCTAGCAGGTGAGCGGGCGAGTAGACGATCATGCCGGACAAAATTGCCACCGAAAAAAACCGCCGGAATTCATTTTCCTACGCCATTTTTATCGGCGGTAATTTAACCGCCGGAAAACTACAAAACTGCCGGTAAAGGTTCAATTACCGCCAGAAAAGGCCTCCAGAAATGGGTGATTTTCCTGTAGTGAACTGCCATGAGTTAACCGATAATGGAAATAATGATCAGATTCAGTATTACGAATGCTCGAGACACTGTCGAACAAATCAAACGGGCCAGGGAGAGTTCTGCATTAAGATGGATATTCTGTTCTTTGAAGGGAGATTACACATCGAGGACTATCTCGATTGGGAAAGAGCATTGGAAGCATTTTTTGATTATATGGAAATCAACCTGGAAAAGCAAGTAAGTACATTGCTTGTCGTTTAAAGGGCGGCGCTAGTGCGTGGTGGCTATAGCTTTTACAAACTCTTCGCTGGGAGGGAAGTGGGCCAATCCATAGTTGGTTTCGTATGAAACAACTTCTTAGGGGACATTTCTTGCCCACGGATTATGAACAAGTACTTATTTACAATATCAACATTGCTCACAAGGACAGCGTTCCGTAAGCGAATATACGGAGGAATTCTATCGACTGAGTGCTCGCAATAATCTCCAAGAATCGAAAGTTCAACTTTTTGCCTGCTACATTGGTGGATTAAAGGAGTTGATACAGGACAAACTGGAGCTTAATTCAGTTTGGACTCTTTCCCAAGCTGTGAATTTCACGTTGAAGGTGGAGATGCAATTAGTTCGTAAATCTCGTAGTTACACTAGCAGATGGTCATATACTAATCATTCATTGGGGGACAGCGCCAAAGAAAATTCCACAGTAGCGAGACCCGCTTCAGTTACACGGGTCCCTACTAGTCCTAATCAGAACCCCAATGCAACTACTAAAATTAAATCCCAATGTAAGGCACAAGCTCCTCGAGAAAATCCATACAGCAAACCTACTACTCTTAAATGCTTTCGATGTTTTCAACCCGCACACAAGTCCAATGAGTGTCCGAATAGACAAAGAATTCAGCTCATAGAGGGGGAATCACATGGAGCGGATGTCCAACATGCTATTTTTGAACCAGAATTTGAAACTGGTATTGAAGATGTCCACGGAGATGAAGGGGATCCGCTGCTCTGTGTTTTACAAAGATTTCTAATAGCACCAAAGGCCCCAAATCACTCTCAGTGCAATGCTCTATTTAAAACTAGGTGCACGATTCAAGGGAAGGTCTATGAATTGCTAATTGATAGCGGGTGCACGGAGAACGTCATCTCTTGATCGGTGGTCCAAGCTCTGCAACTCAAGACTACCAGTAACCCGTACCCTTACAAAATTAGCTGGATAAGAAAAGGAATGGAGGTGACCATCACCAATATGTGGCGAGTCACATTTTCAATCAGAAAACACTATGTATGCGAAGTCTTATGCGATGTACTTGACATGGATATTTGCCATCTCATCTTGGGCCGTCCCTGGCAATACGACATGGATGCTATTTTTAATTGCAGAAAAAATGTCTATACTCTTGAATGGAAAAGGAGAAAGCTTTGATTATGTCCCCATACAAATTCTCCTAAGGAAAAGAACTCAGGGGCAACTTATATTCTCTCGGGCAAGCTATTGGTCCAGTCCCGACAAGACAGTAAGGCATTGATGGCTTTAGTAGTCTCGGATAACCACCAGAAAGTATCCTCTCCTTGTCATCCAAATGAAATCAGTAAGTTACTGACTCAATTTGCAGACCTCTTTCCCGCCGAACTCCCTTTAGGACTTCCCCCCTTGCGCTCCATGCAAAATCAGATCGAATTCGTTCCCGAAGCCACGATCCCCAATCTTCCTCACTACCACATGAGTCCCAAGAAGTATTCTATTATGCAGAATAATGTTGAAGATTTGCTTAACAAGCAACTGATCCAGCATAGCTTGAGCCCTTGTGCAGTACCTGCATTGCTAGTTCCTAAGAAGGACGGTCCATGGCGCATGTGCATCGATAGCCGCGCCATAAATAAAATTACAGTCAAGTACCAGTTTCCTGTACCCAGGGTGTCTGATTTACTAGACCGCTTATCTGGAGCTTCTGTTTTCTCCAAACTTGACTTACA